CCCCCCTACTTCCTTGTGCAATTCACCCTAAATGCCACACATTACGTACCCTACCCTGTTTTCCTACTCTATCAACCCTTACCTTCCACCAATTACTGGATCTTAAGTTCGGAATTTTTTGTGGTTTGATTCTCCGATATCTAATCAGCCCGTTAGTTTCACAGTTGACGGCTCCAGAGAGTAGGCCTGGGCTATCTCTCCTAGATTTTGTGCATTGCGTCGACTGATCTAACCGAGGCCATTTCAGCTGCAACGGCCTGCTCCGTCGATAACGGAGGCTGCCCATACTTGTGTCTTCCTGGTCAGGAAGGTGTCCGTTGTGAATGTCCATCGAATGTCGCCGTAAAAGGATGTTGAGAAGTTTCAAGAATTTTAGAAGCCGTCTTTCAGGACACAAAAGATATCTGCTGTTCACGGTGGGAAATTGTCTTGCCTGATTTTGAACGAACTTTTTTTTTTGATAAAAAATTTCTGGAAACGGTTTCTTTCGGACCAGCGCTTCTACAAACTTCTATGGTCGATTTTAATGTGCTCTGTCCAATTGAGCTGTTGTTCATAGTGTCGTCGTTTGTCATTTTTTAGGTACATTATGTGACCTTTATATGCCATCGTATTCTAAATAGTTAAATAATTACCTAGTTATATTGTATTACTGCCGTTGAACGTGTATCATATACTGAGAATATTAATTGGTTGTTAACGCTTATCATTTAATCATTGTTTCTGTGCTTTTACATAAAAATTCCTTTATAAAGTTTAAGATTTTGTTCCGAGGGCTCCAGTGAAAGTGTAGGGCCAGGCGGTGGGTGGATTAGTGAGTAAAAGCTCTCCAATGCACTTCTGTGAGCAGAGAGATCGGATCCGATCCTCTCACCTGTGACTGAAATAGATTCGATTCCGGAGGACAGCCTCAAAGAGCTAGAAGTATAAGGACGACCAGCAGACCACGAGACTGATGGGAATAGAAGAACATGACTGTAACAGAATGATAAGGAAGATGACTTATGACTTTCTTTAACATCTCGTCAGTGGAAGTCAAAGTAGAGCGTGTAGATGACACTTCTTAGAGAAGAGTGTATAGGATAGATCCCGACTACCAGGTATGTTTGAAAAGACTCAAACAGGACGTCAATCAAACGGAAGAGGAAGCCCTAACCCAAGAAGGGTAGTAGAGGGCTGGCGTGAAGGGTCGCTGAAAGGCTGGAAGAATTTTAGAGAACCGATTTTTCTTTTGCTCCCAGCTTGCCTGATCATCAATCCACTGAGTTTGCTAGATATCTCAACCTGGCATCCTCATCCTAACTGCCAAAAGCCACGTCAATTAAGCCCAGAGTAATTAGGCCAGAAATAGCCTCTGATTCCTATTCTGCGAAGGGACTTTGTGTTTAACTGCGATCAATCTTTCGATCAGGGCGCTGCGCTACTGATCACATAGAGTTCCTGGCACAGACCGTACACAAAGAACAGAAAGTTTGGTAATATATGTACAATTATTTTATTATTAAATATGCTGATATGTACAATTATGAACATTCCTGTTAAAACTGGCTTGTTGAGCTCTAGAGATCAATAACATGCAATAAATAAACAATCATCTCAGTTTTCAGAACTGAAAAAACAATCAATGTTCATCAAGCAGGGGTTTCAGTTCTGGTAGTGTGGGACGAAGAGGAGATGACGGGAAATGTTTTGTTACCAATTCCAGAGCAAGTTTGTTCAGTCGATACCTGGAAACATCTTTTAAACTTGGCTTCTTCAATTGGTAATTCTATTAAGCAGTAAAAGAGGCAACATCAAGAGGAAACCTTCACAGACTGATATCAAAACCTCTTCTACTACACAACAATACTCACCCGCATCGATAATACTCTGTATCCACTCCATTGAAGCTGTAACAGTTGGCAAACATGCGGCATAGGTCAGCAATAAATAAGTGCTGCTGGAAAAGAAAGAAGTGCAACTCAATACTGAAAGCTGTGAAGCAAAGAAAACGCTTACGTGGACATAGTACTTCGCTCGAAGGCGATCACCCATTGTTTTGAGATCAATTGGATATTCGATATAGTCATAGTATTCAGGAACCTGAACAGTAGAAACCACTTTAACTATTAAGTATTCCGAAGTTCATGAAGCAAATCATAAAGAGGGATCAAGGAGTAACTTCGCCTCTAAGATTCATGACAATAAAATTCCGGTAAGAGAAACACGATTCCAATAAGAGCCTAATAAACGAAATCGTAAGGAAAGATCAGTATTCGCAACCAAACCAAAGAGATATGTATCTAACTACTCGGTTCCTTCACGTTATCAATTTCACAGACCATTTAAACCAGTGTGAGCTAAACTCCACTCAGATCCGTCGACCTCTAATAAATAAAGGCGTCCTCTGAATTCATGAAGAAAAGCTCCCAATGAGTAACAGGAACTTAAACGGTTTGAGCCCATTCAAAGAGAGAACAGTGCCAACGACTGGAGGGACATAGGTTTTCAAAGAGAATGGATAATTCAGTACTTGGCATAAAACATCGTAAACTTCCAATTGTTTATTGGACGGTGTTCATTCAAATTTCAAATTCGAGGGAATAGTAACGTCTAGTCAAGTTCAAGTTTAGGTCCAATGATTATTTGAAAACTTCTAGAAAAAGTAAACAAAAGCTCACCATTTCCCCATCAACTGGCGCAATAAATGGCCAACTCCACTTATCAGCGTTGAGCTTCTTCAGAATGAGCTTTATCTTGCTTTCCAGATCATCATCTTTCGCGGGACTATCATCATCATTGTAACTCTCGAGTCCAGGGATATCTTTGAATCGCAGCCCATTACCACCTAAATTACATTAAAACAGTTCCGAAACTCTACGAAACTTTTTAAAAAGTACATTGTATGTATAATACCCACCATGATAACGGAAAATGTGCTCTATCCCACCGTACTTGCGCGTCTTATTGGGATATTTCACTTCGCTCATGGCTTGATGCAAATCACGGACACACTTCATATAAGACGAGAATTCTGTATAACGCATTCTGAAAGACGCAAAGTTCGTAGGTTGAAAATTCAAATTACTTATAAATCCAACTTACTGAGGATGGAGTTGGCAACCCATTAACGTAGCACCTTCATACTCTTTAATGTAACCCTGATATAACTTCTTGGGCATTTCAACTTTCTCCGAAAATCCTTGTTTACTGTAATACAAAAAGTATGTTTGAAAATCGATAACAAAAAGTATGTTTGAAAATCGATACTTAGAAAAAAGTTATGCCTACCTGAAATATCCGATGGCAAATTCGTCTGCAAAAGTCAGTAGATGGTAGTTTCCACACTTCACTTGATAGTCCTTCAGATGATTCATCAGATGCGTACCGTAACCTTTCACCTGAAAACAGTAGCTGAAGCATTCAAAGCGAACGCTATTTCTGTTGATTACTCGAAATAAGAGTAAGCAAATATGGAAAACAAAGTAATTTGAGCTACTGACCTGTTCATTTGCAGTGATAGCACAGAAAACTATCTCTATGAAGCCTTGCGTGGGGAACGGACGAAAACATATCCCGCCGATAACTCCTTTGCCTTGAAAGGACAAACAAAGTTGATCAGAAAAGGCACAAGTGTTGTTGTGAAAATTCGAAATGACTCACCTTTCTTGAGTAACACCATATTCCTATGCCTGTCATCGAAGACTAAACGGGTTATGTACTCCTTTGGCATTTTAGGTAGCTGAACCGAAAAAAGGCTTTGTAGTTGCAATAGCGAGACTGTTGTTTCACGATCTTGGAAAGGTTCCAACGAATTTCCAATAACTTTGAATCTGCAAGGATAAAAAGATAAGATAGCGTCTGCAATAGAGGAAAGCTCAAAAGTTGAAACTTGCTCAATTATCCCATTCTTCTCCTCGATCCTTGCAGTCTCTCCTCTGCAAACGTCTAGATTTATTGCGTCACAAGGATCAGTGTCGGATCCGCTTTGAGCCTAAACAATCAAAATTCCTCCGCGAAAATTATGATCAGTAAGAAATAAATGAGAAAATCTACATCGTTCACTGTCTTCACGATAGCCCTCAGGAACAGATCGGTTGATAGGGAAGATTCGGACTGAAATTAAACTATTCATTATCTACAGGTAAAAAAACGGACCATCATAAACAAGCGAAACACTCAAAATGCTCATCAAGATAAGTCTACATCCTATTGAAATATAAGGGAAATAAGGAAAGGAAGTATATATTCATGAAAATATGCTCCACAACGAGAGGTAGGGAAGGGGTGATCATGAATGTTAGGGAGGAGACTAAACTATAGGTGCAATAGATTGCGCATAAGGGTAGCCACGGATCTCATCAAAAACAAACCCTTCTGAATGGACGGACCGTGAAAACGTCCTATCGGGAATAAGAGGAAAAAACTCATTAGAAGTAAAAATGACACATGCCTTAGTGCGCTTCCTTGATGGTTTGTCTTCCTCTCGTGATGCTGGACGACTAGATTCAAAAGAAGACTCCCTTTCGCTAAGGCGGGTGAATCTGAAGGTGGGGTTTCGCATTGCTATCAATCATATTCCGATAACGAGTGAAGAAGTAACAGTTGACATACTTCGGAAGTTCCAAGCCATCAGGAAGAACCATCTTCAGTTTTATCGGAGTTTTCAATGACATCTCCACGAAACTCACTAGCGAACTCATAAACTCGTGAAGCTCTTCAACAGACTAAATCGAGCTATAGAAATGGCTACATTAGAAATGGCTACATGAAGCGGACGAGAAACCATGGAAACATTCATACATAAGCTATGACTGACTCACCTGAATGTCAGCACCTTGTGGACTGAGGGCATAATTTAAGAAAAATTGTAGACCTTTGTGACCGAAAATCTCTACGGCTTCATATTGTTTGAAGGATTTGAATTGCTGCGGCAAAATGACAAAGTACATCCATCTGGTATAGAACAAACGGTATTGAATACGATCGGCTTTCGGAACTGAAGTGAATTGTTGTGAGAGTAAATGAACGAATGAAAAGAACGAATAAATCTATATATACCTGCATCAAGATATACTGAAGGGGTGGGGATCTTCCATGTGTTTATAATCGTTAACAGCTTCGACGCACAATCGAGGTTATGTTGAATATTTCTAGAAGTTGACCAATCATTCCGAAGGGCAAGTTTCTGAGGAGGCAGAAGAGAAAGGAAAGAGCTCACTCTGTCGATTCCCCATAAAAGGCAACACAAGCTGTAACTATATTGAAAATTGACATTGCTTCGAATTTCGGGAAACCAAATGGGACATCTACGACAGTGCTCCATTTCTTTAAAGCACTCAGACATAGCTGGAAGACTTGATAAACGATCTGAAAGTAAACAATCAATACAAACAACGAAATGATAGAAAACAGTTATAATTACGCTTTTTAGAACTGCTGTGTTGATCACTAATACATTATTTCCAGTATTTTCAGCGCAACAACAAATAAATAAATAAACTACCACAACTCACGTGTAGCTCATCCGTATCCTCTGTGGCTGCCATACGATCATGCAAGCCCTGAGTGTCATTCGCAAGCTGAATGAGCTTTTCCTGTTCATATTTAGTGGGTTTCACAGAATTGGCTGCATGCGACTCTGGAATTATTGGAATGAGAACATGAAAATTTCGCAAATTCCAGAGAGGACTTTAAATAACAAAAAAAAAATCCAGTGAGAACTACTAACCAATCCCGTGGTTGCAACCTCGACAAACTGCATCGCTATCAACGTTTCGGATATGTTTGAAATCGACCTAAAGAGGAATTTAAGGAAGCCTGTCTTGATCTGCATCTAACATCAAAAGACTATTGCAGTAAAGTAAAGGCATATGCAGTGATTCTAAAGCATTCAGAAACGTGAAGACCATCAAATTTGAAAAAAAAGCGGTGGGAGCAATTTAACTTGCCAAGAACAATCCGCCATCCTCCACAGTTTGATCATAGTTTAGCACGGGGCGGAAACCGCTACATCGGCACTCGGTACATTTTGCAAATAGAGCTAGCACCTTCAGGTTGCCGTCATCGTCACGAACCCGCATCTTAATCAGGCTTGCCTTGAGAAATACATAAACAAAAGCTCAATTATATTCTCACAACCTTCATTGACGTTTTGACTGAGGTTTGAGCCTTGCGGAGCCGTTGTGTGGCCCCTGGCTGCAAAAAACAAAGGAATTGATTATTTAAAGAGAAAACGCACCTTTCGGTCTTTAAAATTAAGCTATTGTACGATCAAAAAAAGAAAAACATGATTGTATTGAAAAAGAGCGACAAATGGTAAAATAAAATTATCGAATTAGTTGACGTTGTTGACAAAATTGGCTTTGAGGCGTGGAATAAAATGTTTTACGTGGATGCAGAGGCTGCTCTTTGCTTATTATTTCGACGTCAACCTAATCACCCCGTTGATAAAAGTTAATATATTTTCCTAAGCATTGATGTCTCCAGGCTTTTGTTTTCCGCCTCTTCCTGTAAAATATATAACTTTATGCTTGATCAACTTATAAATGCATTCTTCAGTATTCTGCATGGATATCATGAAAACAATCTGTTGCTGTGGTGGTGAGGATAATGATGGATTGCCTTATGAACGTTTCTATGATGACTCCAGTGTTACTCCAGTTAGACGAAATGACGATCGCCTTAATGGGTATGCTTGTTTCTGTTTATTACGTCTTATCGTTATGCTTGCTTACGAGATAACAAGTTGGAAGGTAGTTCCCGCAAGCATCTCTCAAACAGGGCCTTTCTGTTCCCAGAAGTGGAAAAATGTTTGAAGTTTTTGAAGAATAATTGTTAGATTGGAGTAAGGCAGAATGTTTATTTTTTCGTTTGATTAGGTGAAAGCGGCGTTCCCTAAGTTACAGCCACAGACGGCAGTAACGAGAAAGGGATAAAACAGGTGATGTAGGTACATTTCCAATATGAACTACGTCATCCTATCGATCTGAATCTGGATTCCCCCATCTAGAGCAGGTCTCACTTATTTGTTTAATTGAGCTACTACTTAAAACTGTTAGTTCGATAGAGTTCCGTCACCGAGTGTTTTAGGTAATGGTTCTTTTTGAAACTTCTCACAAATAATTAATTGTTTTTGAGACCCTTTTCCCGTTACAGGCATGGAATTGATGAAATAGACGCCGGAGGTTGGGATCCTTCACATAGAGCTGTAAAAAGCAAAGAGGAACAGGAGGAAGAAGCTCTGAATCGGATTCTAGAAAATACCCAGCATGTGAGTTATCTAACCCTACTTTGCTTTGCACATTGTGTGCAAGTCATTGCACTCAAACGTTGCACTACACCATTTCCAATTACAACAAATAGTAGTACAGCCTTCTACAAAAGAGTTTAGCGAAGCACATCAAGTGGTTGAAACTTATTGAAAACGTCCTTAAAATCCTTTTGTCATGGTTTATACACTTTTACCTAGTTTTCGCTACTAGCGGTTTCTGTTCGTTCAGGCAGCAAACGCTTTTGTCGCTTGCAAATTCATAGATAGGGCTTGTCGGATGACATTTTATTTGTCTTTATGTGCTTCAAATAGAATCCAAGGAGATTTATATTCCCAAATGCATGCATGAATATATTCCAGAATATTATCGACGTCTCCCATCTTGACGGAATGACGTTAAATACTTCTGAATACCTGGCTCGTGCTCAATTCTACGAAGAAGCTATTCGTACGCACGATCAAAATGTCAGCCGTGGAGCAAACGCGGCACCGCGGAGTCCAAGTCAGTTTCCTCCTGTCATTTTGAATAATTTTGAATTATCAGATTTGAATTATTGAACTGCTATCGATCGGGCGTGGAATTCAGGTCGGCATGCGAAGCATCTATTGGAAGACTGCGGTAATAAAGCTGTTGACTGGCTCACGAGGCCCGGACCCACTCGTGAATTTTTAGACGAAATACGGGGCTGGACATCAGAGTTAGTCATTTCATTGTTGTTTAGTTTCTGTTTTTTTAAAGGAGTATTATATCGATTTTCAAGGATGCATGAGGCTGTAACGAATGGTATACAAGTTCAACATAAAACAGATTTGGTAGTGTACATGGACCTCTGATGAGCGATATTGAGGTGAGGTCTTTTTTCACCGTTGCTCTAGATTACAAGGAGGTCACCACCGATGTTTTGTTTATAACAATATGTCTGCATAGCTTCATGGATCCTATATCCAAGGCAATCTATCCTACAGGGGTTACGAGTCACAGTACTCAGGTAGAGTTTATACGAAATTTCGTGTTCTGAGCCGTATTTTTTGCCTTTCCGTGAAAGGCTCTGTGGTCTGATATGAATTCACATATCTCAAGTACTGAACATATTTAGATATACTTTGACAGTGCTGCCTGCGATACGCAGCCCAATATTTTGAAAATTCATTTTTAAGGCTTGGAAAAGCAAGGCATGTATGGTGGGATCAAGTAGCGCCCGGATCGCTTCGGCCTTCGATACGAATTGTGATGAGTTACTGAAGGTGTTTTTACGTTCCCATTTTGCCACATTATCGAATTTTTTCAATTTTGCTACTTCCAGCTGGGTACAACACTTATAAATTCATTTTTGGGGTTCTATAAGGGTGTGCTCTTCCATTTATGTTGAACTCCATTCGGTTTTATTCGAATGTAGCTGTTTCTTTTGCGTGCCTTTACCATTGCCCGTTTTACTATCCTGTGCGGTATATGCCGTTTGTAACGTTTCCAGTAGGTAACTGAGCTAGAAGACAGAAGATTTTTGTAGTTTCCGGTGCCTCTTGCCAATCATTGTTTCCATCCGATCGATATGGTTTCATTCGTTCATTCGATAATGTTGTTAGGTTTATCTAGATAGAAGTTCATTATCATCACTTGTGATTTAATGATTTTTTTTTGTATTTTGAGTGACTGATTGACTGCAATATGTACGGTTTAGAGTCAAGCGCGCGGTGTGGTGTTCATCCTTTTTACATATGCTCTTTTCCTGTCCTTTATCATGTTTACAGCTGGATTCTGGATACCATTCTCAGCCGGACATCGTCATAGAAATGTTCCTAACATGACTCATGTATTGCTTCGCTAGCTATTAATCTCCAAATGACCTCCATTCCCAACTACAGCCCTTTTCTCATCTGTCCTTTGATCCAGTTTCCAGTTCGTTTCCTTTGCAATACTTTCTAGACACGGACGCCTGACATTTGTATCGAATCGTTCTGGTAATAACTTTTATTGAGTTCCTAAATAAATTATTCATATATCCACTAGTTTTTGTTCGAAGTTGATTATTGCGGAGTTCCGAATACGGTAGTCACCCAAACGAGTTACAATTTCTAATTTTTCTGGGCAGTTTTTATTTTCATCTTGTTGTAAGCAAAATATTTATTCAATAACGAAAAATATGAGACATAACAAATACCAGTGAAGTGAGATATGCCGGGAGAATCAAATATAAAATCTCAAATGCTGTTCCAGTCTGTAGTAGTAGCAGCGAGTAAAAAAGAGTAATAGAAATTGCAAAGTAGTATTTGTTTCTCTATGAGGTCAATAAATAAGGCAAAAAAGCAGAATGGTCTATGAAAGCCCGAAGGATCGTCGTGATACAGAAAAAAAAGGGTGGAAACGAAGAGAGTTTGTTCTGAAGCATTCTAAGAAAGGTCAAGAATTGTATGGGGGCGAAAGTGGAAAAATCTGAAGTCGACCCTCAAGGACGTGGTTAACTCCCTGGGGATCGACTTCAGATTTCAGAGGGTACTTTAGAGGGCATACTTACCTTAGACTAACCATAAGTAGATAACATACCCCCGATAAGATTGGATTTTTTTCAGTCCAATATATTATTTACACTTGATTTTGATTGATGACATACCGTAGTTTGAAGCACCGCTGCAATGGACCTCATCTCGGATTTAGGCTGAGGATATATCCATAGGATATGGTTAGAGCCATGCGTGCAGTCTGAGGTTGTGATTGGTTGCTAGGTGTTGTGGCCAATGGCAGGTGTTTCTGGCACCCACACCACCCACAACCCACCGAAGGTTCGCAACCCTGGTTGTATCCCGGATTGCCCCTCAGTACATCAGCATAAAAGATAAGTATCGATTATTCAGCCTAAAATGAATATCCTCTTCTAAAAACACATGGCATTATAAGGTTTAAAGACTGAAAGGGCCTGGATTCGAATCTCTAAAGTTACAAGGAGGATAGCCTGAGTTGGTTTGGCTCTTGTTGTGGGCATATTGGGGGTGTTGCAGGAGTCCCGATACGGTCGCAACTCACGGCGATTCTTAGCTAGTTGTCTCGCCGTTTGGGAATTCCAACGTCAATTGAAAGAAGCGCAGCAATTCTAGCAACTACCTTAGCAATACGAGAAAATGCCATTCGGCAGAGAAAGTCGCTTTCTTTCCCTATTCTCAATTCTCACCTACAGTTTAGGCACTTATGGACCTATGCTACGCCAACTGCCTACGGTAGGGCGGCAGCAGTTTGAGGATTATTCAAGATAGATGAATCAGAATCAGAGACCTGTTGAATTGAGCTCGGTGAAAATCCGTTTGGATAACTGTCACATACTACTCGTCACAATAGCGATGACTAAAGCTGTAATAGGAATGACACGTAAATGGGTAGCTGATGCCGTCAGATCATCCCTGTTACAGTTGTCCGATTCACAGGCACACATCACTTCTTCGTACTCGTTGTGCATCCATTTTCGGGAACAGCCCATTTGTACCTGAAGGTTTTCGAGATTTTCGGGTCTTTAAGTAAAAGTAGCAATCTCAGGTAATCTGCAATTACCTGTGAGCTGTCGGTTACATTTATACAACCCTGCTTCTCGCTTATAACCTGAACGGGTCCTGCTCGTCCCATGCTATGCGTTACGTGTCGTTGGGCTGCGTAGGTGCAGAAGTGACCTTCAAATTACTTCATTTATAAAAGTTCTCAAAACGTTATTTGAAAATCTGACTGAAATTGCCTATCTTCACATATCAGAGCAATTAGATAGCCCTGTTACTAGGAAAAGGGTTGGTAGCGCAGTGACGAGCAATCCTGCGCCGTCACCATCGAGTTCGAATCCACTCTGGCCTAGCAAGCATACAATCCTCTCAAAGAAACTTATGAATCCAATACCCATATATTGCTTCTCTTAGAAGCTGAGGAGCAGAGTTATCCACTGGTTTTACGAATACCGTAATATCCCTGTACAGTAAGGCCATACATTCAGCCAGGCAAGAGTATGTAACACAATTTCCAACTATTAAACCCAAACAGAAAGATGGTGGATATCGAATCGTCACATCCTACATTTCGCCCAGGTCGAAAATGAGAAAATGCTCAGAGAAACTCCATAACGGCAATCCTCTGAGGCTACTTACCGATACATTTATGCTGCTTACAAGATGATGTTACTGTAGTTCCATCATGTGAATTGATTTCACAGTTCACACATGTCCGGTACGGTAACGTCGGATCGGAAGCACTGAAAAAGTACTGTTGTAGATGCTACGGATCTGGCTCAGTCAGATGTAGGGACCCTAGATAAAATCCCGAGTTTGAGCCCACTCCAGAAATGCTTGCTGTCCCTTCGTGGACGACAGTAGAGGAGAATTTTCGTATGTTTTTGGAATTTCGAGAGACCCAGAGTAACAAGGAGTGATGAAGGAAACTAACCTAAGGGCTAGCGATCTCGACCTCAGGACTCCATCCCTAGTGGACATCGACACCGGATATCGTCCTAGTGGTTTGACATATCCGTTGCACATGTTTGTATTGCAAATACAATGTTTATGTGGTTTTCCTGCTCCACTAAAATTATTATATAATGAAAAATACTGCTGGAAATGCTGAAAGCTGGAATGCATTAGCCAAATCTTACCGTGATAACGTCACACAAACTTTGTTCCTATAGTAAAGAAGTTCTGGCCCGCGGTAGAAAAACGGTAGCGATGGCGGTCCAAAACCGCATCCAGCAGCTCCTGTCGTACTGTCTTCGTGGCACCTGAGGTCGGTCGAGTTACTTTCGTGATGAAAATGCAATCAGCATGGGTAAAGGAAGACAAAAGCTCCCGGGAGCACCGTAGCACATGAACATGGTCACATGGGTCTAGGACTGGCATTCGTTAGGACAGAACGAACATTCGGTTGTACAGTTACTGATCGGTCGTGAGATTCCCTACCAGTTCCCACTAAGCAAATTCCTCCAAAACTTGTTGATCAGTACATGTTCCCTCCTTCTCTCTCTCGAAAACCAAAGTAAGTAACAAGAGAGGGGGAGGAGCTGAGTAGCGTCGAAGCTACCCTTCAGTACCCTTCGTTATCTACCTTCGCTGTGTTGGAACTATTCTGAAGTGCTGGTTCATATGCCATGTTGTGGTCAATGGGAAATTCTTTGCAGGCTCCGACAGTGGGAGGGATGGAGGAGGGGAGGGGGCACGGGTTTGGTTTATCACCTGAAGACCACAAAAGGCTATCGATCAGCTCACTTTGAAACCTAGCCTTTGACTCACCATTGTCCCTGACACTTATCGTCACAGTCCGGATCTCGCTCAGAGCATTTTCGACAGGTTACATTCCGCCTCATTATGGAGCGAACATAGATATGGTCATTACAAAACGGTCCTGAAACGAATTCTTGTTTGACGGCTAGGCTGTCAGGTTCAATTTTCGGCAAGCCAAGAAAGCTACAAGAATAGCTCTCGCTTTGAGGTGCGACTTTTCGATATGCTATCTGACTGTGTTTGATACTTCTCTCAATGGGTGTCCTAAGATGGCCTATTCGGTTGATAAAAGGTCTCCAGGAGATAAGCTATGAATTCGTCCCCATCCGGTCAATCGGCGGTCCACTCACTGGGGACTCCTACGAAGTTCGTCCAGCCATCAGACAGGTGAGCGATTGATGAACTTCCGATGACGGCTCCCACACCAGCTGGTCAGCGAGATCCATCACCAGCTGAACTCACCTACGTCACATGTTTATCTCCGTCTGGCTCTCAGCCCCTCCCTTTACTCGGCCCCTCAACTGTGGGAAGCAACTTTAAATTATGAGTTTACAAATGGATACAATTAACGGTCTACTGGCTGGGGGTTCCTTGACTTTCAGAATCACTTAAACGATTACACATGTAAGCGATCAGCGGAGTGGAAATTTTGTTGCTAGACCTTACACCACGTGGTCAACGTGATCCATCATAAGCTGATCGACGATTTCCGTTATAAGTTTATCTCCTTCTGCACACAGCACTTTCCTTCATCTTTCCCCTCCTTGTTGGAAAAAGATTCCAATAGATGTAAGGCGAAGCCTGGATACGCTGCAGTAACCCTGAACGGACTGCATTCCAGCTTTTGCCAAACAGAACAGCCCTGCGGTATACCAGAACACAAAACGAACATGTTCAGGAGAGCCCATTAATAGCTGTTTCTCAGTTAATAGAGAGTTTTCAGGGGTATTCTGGCACAAGTCTAAATGCAGAGAGAGGTTGAAGAATCAGCTGGCAGTACAACACCGCGATCTATCTTTCAAGATCTAGAAAGCCTCTGCTAGCGTTGAGACAGGATGCTCCACAACACACCCTTCTGTCCCTCTAGCCTTCCTCACGTAGAAAGTCAGGCTTACTAGATAAAGGAGGTCAGCTGGGACATAGCTCTTTACCTAACTTACTTTCGTGAATATTCCCCCGGTGACTTCTGTCTGTCCAGAAGCAGTACAGGCAAGTCCTTACCTAGAAAACAATCTTGAATTGGAATCGAAATGGCTGTGACCAGCTCTTTTATTTCATTCTCTCAATACAATCTTTCGCTCCCTCCTAAGAAATTTCTTTCTTTCATTCGTATAATGTAGGCGGGGCTTTGTTTGTGACAACAGAACTGAGAAGTTCGTGAGTTGTGTCCAATGAGTTAACTGAGGAGCCCGAATTTCTCGGAAGGTTGTAATGACCACTACTGAGTTTTATGGCTGTTGTTACCCATCTATGCATGGAATCGCGGTCATTCATTAACAAACATTCGTAAAACTTTACTACACTGTCGGAATTGGTTTTTCGAATTGCAAGCTGACATAATACTTTGAAACGTTCATCGATTTCTGGGTACGGACTTCTTAAAATGCCATTGGAGGCTACAATGCTATGAATTGTTGCGAGCTCCGGTTATGGCATGTTTTCGGCGATTTTCAAGGAAATGAGCTTGTTCATTCCATTAACCATTTTTATCGGTTACTTTATCAGTTAATTATAATAACCATAATTTCATGAAATAATTTAAAAGGTGAATACAACCTACCATGACAAACACAAAGTACATGATCGGCGAAATGCTCATATTCACATCCAGGGAGAGTTCGAGGAGACCGTCGGAGACATCCTGGAACAAATGCATTGTTCAGAGGAAACAACGAAAATTTCATACAGTATGTGGTTACTACAATCCAAGACATTGTAAACTTTTATGATTAAGAGCTTTTATGATTAAGAGTTATTCGAGAGGATTTGAGGTCTGGAAGGATTCAAGGAAGAAGGACACCCATGAGTTTCCCTTACCTATCCGAGATTTTTCGAGTTTCCTTGTAATGGGATATGCTATGGCACGAGGATGGAGAGGAAGTTTTTTTATCGGTTACTGTGGATGTCCAATATCATATCTAATCCTGTTCAGGCCAACAAGACTGCAATTTCGGTGATGCGCCATGTGTTTGACTTCGATCCAGTATCGCAGAATTATTTGAATGCGTCATGGGTTTGCACAGTGAATTTTGGGAGTCAACAGTGAAGCACGTCAAAGATTCATCCATGTAAACGAGAATGCTACCCCCATAACGGCTCTGGAAGGACCGTGGATGCAGATGGTTCGAGAGGGATTCAGTCATCGACGCATGTATATGGCAACGGCTGCTCCTACCCAACACAGTCGAGGATGTACATGTAGTTATTTTTCTCAAAACTTTACATAAAGTAGAACGGAAAAATTATCTTTCTTTTGGGATTCCCTCGTGGGCGGTCAGAGTATTAGTGGAAACTCTGCGATGGTGCAATTATCAAGTTTTTTTCAGACAGTTTGGCGTGTGATGGGACAATTGAAGTTTCAGATGAGGCAAAAAAAAATCGAGCAAAACAGCATTAATACAGTAATTCGTAGCCCTTGGAAAATTGTGGCCAAAAATGGAAGCACACTAGTAAATCACTTCACTACTGCTATTAATTTTCTTGTTCACGGAGAGGGACCCATCAGCAGTTCTAGCGTGCACTCTCCTATTGTTCAGTGGGCAAACTTTGAAGGATGGCTATAAATCCAGTTCCAAATCCAAATATGTATTCTCTACCGGAGCATGGCTTTTCGACAGAGCTATTCAGGTGGGGGGGGGGGGGGGGGGGGGGGGNGAGAGGAGTGAAGCAAAAAAAGCGACGAATTTTTTTTTCGAAGCAGTGGAAAGAGTTTGCAGTAAAAAGCGATTGGAACTGAAGGCTATGACGATCTGAACAAATACCCTTCGATATTCATTCATTACATTGCTCAGCATTACTAGGAAAAGGCATTATAGCCCTTCCTAAGAGTTAGCGAACCATAATGAAATCCATGCGTCAATGGAGTATTCCTACTTGTATTGGGGAATGTTCAAAAGCAGCAGAATGCTGAAGGCAGCCACAGCCATAGTCCGGCTCTACAGTCCCAGATCAAATCCCGTCCAAGGTAATCGGACCTCAACTCCTTCTCGACTGAGTTGTTTGTACCAGATTTGTCTTGAAGGGTGACTTCAGTTCATTTGAGAAAGTCATTATATGACTCATGATTACTCCAGTCTCGGTTCTATGCTGCCAAAGTTCTACTTCTTCCTTTTAAAAATTTTGTCTCTAATTGGACTAGTCTCGATGCGAGAGCCATGCTCAATCAAGACAAAGACAATGATGGAAGTGAAAAATACGAACAATTCCATGGGCTGATGGGAATTTCGCCATGAAAAACGCTCATTTTGGGTAAGTTTTCATCATAAACTTTCCTTTCGTGCAAGGCTATATGTCTACGAACCCCCTTTACGACCTTTGGTGCTGTGAAGTGCGAAATCAGTCGTGAATAATGTGTTTCACGGGCTCAGGGACCTTTCGAAGACGGCCATTCAATCTTCCCCTTCTCGTGGTGAACTAGTCGAGTGTAATCTGTAGTGATCCCAGACGGGAACGGCTCATTACTCACCTTGCGCACCAACAAATACCAACTGTTCAATGGATTGGGAGCGAGCAAAGGTGGCGGCGGTGGCACTTTGCCGTGCTGGCCCCCAAAACCACCCACAACCGCAAATGCAACATATGCCATTAGCGCCCCGAAGTGAAAATGACCAACTGACCTTTTGTTATCCGGAATACTCCACGTTCTTCGGTTGGTTTCTTTTCGATGAAACATTGATTTGATGGACAGGAACCCATCTGAAAATAAAGGCGATAAGATAAATTTGAAGATTCTAATGGAAACGGGAAGGAATCGGAAGGAAATTCGGTCGTCTGGGCCGCCTCTCTTCCGGTCCGCCAGCGTTCTAACAAGCGCACTGTGCTCACGCACCGCATTTCCTCTTCTGGAGGAGTCATTATCGACCAAACTGAATCTCATGCAAAGAGCGCACGATGAAGCTTTGAAAGCTCTAATGGGCAATTGAAAGCCAGCTAATGATACCGTAACGGTGTTCATTACGGTAATGATAAGGTGCGCAGTTTTTCGGAATTTACTCTGCCGAGGTTGCATTTTCATATCCCTAGTAGGAGGTGTGGGCATCAAACGACAAGTTTCATGAGGAATCGGAACAGTTGGGGTCAAAACTGATTAGGGACACTCGAAATGGGAGATCGTGAGCCCAACAGAGCTTCATTTTCGAGTACGAGTGGTCTTTACCCACATGTTTTCCTACTGGTTACCAGTTTACTAGACGATGGTTGCAGTAGCCAATAAAAGTCCACATTTACTTTTTTTGAGCATTACACTTCTTTTTCTCTCCTTCACCAGGATAATGGGCATACTAACGGTAGTGGTAGTGAAGCTTGACGGATTTCAAGGCCCCCTCCATTAGTGGACTCTCAAAGGTATACATGTCTTTGGAATTCTCAAAATGAATGGTCCCTACCATACCGTTGAGATGCCAAGCTTCCAATTTGATCCACCTTTCTTGAGGCTTTTCCATCCCTTTCACATCTACACTGCTGTCCCATGTGATTCGTTTTCTACTTTGCATTTTTCAAAATTCTGCTTATTTCAGGGTTTCTCGAGGGGAATTTCCCTATGAACACCCCCTATTTCGTCCCTAACAAAAGGCCCATGGCTAGAGGGGATTTGTACGAGTGTTCCCGAGGATCGAAGGGGCAGTGGTGGTCATTGCGGCTCTGGCGCTGATTAGATCAGTTCCATTACACATAATTTACGACTTATTATCAGTGATTGTTTTGTTTGCCGGAAAAATAGAGGAAAATCCGTAAATAGTCGTCACCTGGCAATTACACGGTTCACTATGACAAGTACCGGAGCATGAATAACAATGTTGAGGCTTGCAGTTAGGCAGTAGAATGACAATGGCGGCTAATAAAGGCAGAATTGGAAACGATGAACACAACAGAGACGATCGCATCACTTCTCAATCGTCATCTGAATTCTGTAAAAAACGAATGTTCAGTTCAAGTTCGTATTTTGATTGATGTCTACGTAGCCATGAAAAGCAAGAACGGTTAGGATAAAAAAGATTCCCATTAAACGATCTAGGAGTTCAAGGTATATGTAAAGGTTGAGCAGGAGTGAAATGAGCAAACGGGAGAACTTGACAGAAAAAGAAAAAATGCCCTCAAAGAAGCTACACATATGGAACATATGAGTACTGATCCTAGAAAGGAAGAGGGATAAAGTCGCCAGTAGGTAATCCGACGTTTAGATTCGCCCCGCTTACGACTACCATTCAGAATCGTAATGGCGTTTGAATGCGTATTTTGGCTATACGATGGCTTGCCAGGCGATGCTAAAGTCACTGCTTTCATCCTCCCAGAAGAGCCTGGTAAGAGCGTTGGTCAAGCGAAGTGGAAGTAGTTGGAAGCGACCGAGGCAATCAAGAAGAAGGCTGGGCAGGACAAGGTATACACAGAAGGAGGGAGGGAGAGACTGGTTAGCTTAAACATTCGAAAATATCGATTGATCTTCTAACCTTTACAAATGATAAAATCTTTTTCCAACTGTTGGACCCTTTGACCAGAAATGGGTCTAATACTTCTCTTGTGCTACAACTTCATATCAAATTTTAAAATTGTAATTTTTTGCATCCATTCACCTGAGCTATTCTTTTTTACGAAAAAAATCGAAAATTAAGATTTCAAGATTATAGCGCATACTTTTATGTACTTTTATGTACTTTTATTCGTAGTTATTTAGTGTTGAAATTAATTTTGAAAGTGCGATAGTCATCAGCGAAAAGCTAGGGTCTGGAAGAGAAACCAGTAGAGCGTGAGAAACGGAAGCTAAACATACCTTCAGAAATTGAAGTTTATAAGTACAAGTAGTCAATCGATCGAAAGAGGTGTGAAGAAATGTAAAGTAAAATTCTAGTAAAAGAATACGAATGAATGAGTGAACGAAACAGGAAAGGAGGTAAAGTACAAGGAAGGAGAGACTGCGAAAAGTTCATAGCAAGGGTGGAAGAAGGAAGGAAGGAAGCTGTGTGAGAAGGGAAAAGGAAGGGTATCTGGGAAGTAATACATGAACGTAAGATACATAAAGGAAGAAGCGAAAGTTGTTCCTTAATTCATCTCTTCCGGGCTCCAAACAGGAATAGAATAGCTTCGATCAATACTCGAAGTTGACACCTTCATTGAAGGAAAGCTGTCCTCCTCTCTACTATGGCTATTGGGCTGACCGGAAGAAGGAGTTCACCAAGCATTTTAGAGCTGGGGGAGTGAAAGTGCCTGAGATAAATGCAGGAAACAAAGCCAAATACTGAGAACCCAAGCGATTGACGACGACGACTTTCAGCGAAGCCTACGAAGGACAGCAAAAAAANAAAAAAACAAGTAACTCCAATAGATTGGCACTATCGCTAGTCTAACTATGCTACATTTGAACTGAATTGGACTTTCTCGTGTACAAATTCCTTCGTAGAACTTTCTGATCAAAAACTAACTGGGAAATTAGCAAAGGTGTACAAAGGAACATGGTCTCTAACACAAAAGTAGGATTGCTGTAGTATTGTATAAACGAGGAAGAAAATAAGACAGAGATCAGTAGAACCTAACGGGTGTCCTCTGCCCATGTGGGTGAATATTGGTTAGGGTGCTCGGATTAGTCCTCGAGTATGTACGAAGATCAACCAAGCGACCTAGAAAAACCTTGAACGTAGTGGGCGGAGCAACTGCTAGAATGGGCGGGGCTTCAACTGAATCTCAGAGTTTCACCCTGCTGGACAGTCGCCATCCCACTTTTTTTTCAAGTTCATCCCACTTTTTTCAGAATGAGAAACATAACCTAAGGAATTTAATCTAAGAAGAATTTAATCAAGGAATTAGGTTGGATAGGGGTAGAGATTGCTGAGAAAAAGGGCTTTATGCCAACAAAAGTTTCTACACAAGGGAGTCATCGCAATGATAGGTTACATCGAATGTCTCTCTGCTTTACTCAGCACAGATTCATGTCCCGCGTGCTATAATTACAGGAAGCATAATAATTTTTGCTCACCACATGCTTATTAGGTTCGGAGGCTATGAATGAAGGTGGCTTTCACAACGGAAGGCAATGCCATTTTATGAATCATAACAGGCTCTTCCACAAAAACTATTGTGACTTTCCAACGGTTACGTCTACCAGCATCAGCTAGGCACGACCTAAAAGTCTTCCCTTATCCCTTTGATACTTCGAACTCTTGCTATTTGTTAAGTGTCGTAAATAACAACTATCATTTACGTAGTCAAAGGTGAAGGGATGATGGGATTACGGTATGGAATCGAAATCGTTCTGATTCGGAATCAGTTGCATACCCTTTACCAGTCTTGAAGAGTTTCATTACCAATCAATAACTATGTCGCAGAATTCAGCGTGCTGCTCAGTTATTCCACTAGAAGAAAGCCAAGGATCAGTGGCATTGAAAGTACTTGAGGCAAGGAACGAACTTGTAAACCAAGTCATTACTTTTGAACGTCGCTATAGTAATCCGTGACATTTAGCAAAATATGTTCCTGGGAATCGCCCATCTCAGACGGTTTATTTGTACTAAAAATAGTTGACTGTTAGGGAATCCGTGTTTCTCGAGGGAAAATAGTCAATAGGTAGATGTTGTTCTGCTTTGAACTTGCTATTAAATTTCTATTTCCTAAAGCCATCTTCAAATCCTGGAATGGATCAAAACAGTTCGTGGATAATAGATAAAAGGTCTCCACAACCCTACAGTAGTTCGAGAGTCCCAGGGCAGCACGTAACCTAGAGGAGGGGCACTCACTGTCACTTCGTATATCCACAAAACCACCCAGCAACCGGTAGTGCGTCCAGGACAGCCGGGCTTGGTCTTCATTGGAATCACTGTGGCAAGGCCAACCTTATGTAAGCCCTCAGTTATTGAAGGCCGAACGTGGAGAATTCTTCCCAGTAGGTAGAGGTGGAGAATCTGACGTCCATCCTCAGTTTATTTAGCCCGTTTTTTTGTTTTTATTTTGTAAATAACAAATTTGGTCCCTATATGGATTGC